GTCTTCCCAGCAAGGTTTTTTTTTTTTTTTTTTTGAAAGAGTGCAAACAGCCATGCATTCATTGGACGCAAGGCAAACAATACACAATGCTTAAGTATATGTCGTTTACCAAGATCGTGGATGATACTTTTTTCAGTCGTATTTAATGGGATATTTTCTCGCGTTGTTTTAGTGGACATTTTGTACTCCTGAACTTCTAGCCCGCCAAAATAACTTCTCTGCTTCAGTTCCATGATGCTTTTTGATGTGTTTTTTGTAATTTTACAGTAAAAACATAACTAGAGTTTAGGGGAGTGGATTATCATCATCTTCAGTACAGGACATTTGTGCGAGCTGAATTACTTCATTATCTAGAATTCCGCATAGTGTCCGTCTTTCATGCAGTAAGCTCTTGGTTCTCTTCCTCTTCCATGTCAGGAGTTTGAATTGAAAGAGAGGTAAATAATTGTATGCATTGTTGTGTGCCTAAATGTAACCTGTTCTGAAAGACATGAAAACATGGAAATGTTTCATTAAATACTAAGTGTAATAAATGACAAGTAATCATTTTTATTAAATTAAAGCAATGAATAAATGACTTTGGATAATCATTGGGGTTTGTTGATTTGAAAGTGTTCTGACAAAGATGAGTGAATCGATGTAGAATGTTCAAAAATTTTTGTTTGTAAATCAGTATTAAACGTTTCGCATTTCTCAGTTTCACAATTAGCTTTTTTTTATAAAATATAAATATATTGTGTAAAATATAAATTATGATGGTTGTAAATTCCTAATAAATTTGTATTTACAAGTAAATAAGACACATGAATGCACCAAAGTAGCCATGCAGTATACCTGGATTGGGCAAAGCTACCCACCCCCACCCGCCCTTTTACTTACGTTTCAATTTAAATGGAAAGTTAATTAGTTATTAAGTAAAGTTAGCTTAATATACTATATATATGCATTTGGCACTTGACCCTGTCAAACTGGCTTACTGGATCCTTTCTATCTGGGACTGAACTTTAAACTTGGGTGAAGAACAGTATACGTTTTCAACCATTTAACCAGCTGACAACCTCGTTACACAAATATAAGATGTTAAAACATGGAAATGTAGTTTCTATAAACGCATCTTTTAACAAAAGTACAAATAACTGCAAAAGAGAGATATCCCCCTTGCCTATGTGCAGCTCAGACCAGATGTTTTCCATCACATCTGGAGAGTTGTCCCGGGTTGAATTCTGTGGTTTGAGGAGACTGCTGGTGGCAGGTCTCTATGGAGTAGGCCTTGACAGATTGTGGATGTAGTGTTTAAAAATAGCACCCAACTGCAGAGCTACCCTCCCAAAGTTCCCACCATTGTGCAGTCTGGGAACACAGTGGTGGCCAAACCCCCTGCAACAGGCCATCCCATAGACATACCCAGAAGAGCTTGTCAACTCAGCCCCTAAAAATCTGGTGTTTGAATTGTGCTCTGCACAATTGCAATATGCAATAAACCTCCAGTGGTATTGTTTAATTTGAGTATTTACCAAATATATATTTTCTGTAAGAGTAGCCCCCAATATTACCAACTCCCAAAGTTCACCCATAGTATTTTTCAGTCTCTATGAATTTTGTTGGTAAATAATTGTATGCATTGTTGTGTGCCTAAATGTAACCTGTTCTGAAAGACATGAAAACATGGAAATGTTTCATTAAATACTAAGTGTAATAAATGACAAGTAATCATTTTTATTAAATTAAAGCAATGAATAAATGACTTTGGATAATCATTGGGGTTTGTTGATTTGAAAGTGTTCTGACAAAGATGAGTGAATCGATGTAGAATGTTCAAAAATTTTTGTTTGTAAATCAGTATTAAACGTTTCGCATTTCTCAGTTTCACAATTAGCTTTTTTTTATAAAATATAAATATATTGTGTAAAATATAAATTATGATGGTTGTAAATTCCTAATAAATTTGTATTTACAAGTAAATAAGACACATGAATGCACCAAAGTAGCCATGCAGTATACCTGGATTGGGCAAAGCTACCCACCCCCACCCGCACTTTTACTTATGTTTCAATTTAAATGGAAAGTTAATTAGTTATTAAGTAAAGTTAGCTTAATATACTATATATATGCATTTGGCACTTGACCCTGTCAAACACAAACATTTGCCAAATTTACTGGCTTACTGGATCCTTTCTATCTGGGACTGAACTTTAAACTTGGTTGAAGAACAGTATACGTTTTCAACCATTTAACCAGCTGACAACCTCGTTACACCAATATAAGATGTTAAAACATGGAAATGTAGTTTCTATAAACGCATCTTTTAACAAAAGTACAAATAACTGCAAAAGGGAGAGATCCCCCTTGCCTATGTGCAGCTCAGACCAGATGTTTTCCATCACATCTGGAGAGTTGTCCCGGGTTGAATTCTGTGGTTTGAGGAGACTGCTGGTGGCAGGTCTCTATGGAGTAGGCCTTGACAGATTGTGGATGTAGTGTTTAAAAATAGCACCCAACTGCAGAGCTACCCTCCCAAAGTTCCCACCATTGTGCAGTCTGGGAACACAGTGGTGGCCAAACCCCCTGCAACAGGCCATCCCATAGACATACCCAGAAGAGCTTGTCAACTCAGCCCCTAAAAATCTGGTGTTTGAATTGTGCTCTGCACAATTGCAATATGCAATAAACCTCCAGTGGTATTGTTTAATTTGAGTATTTACCAAATATATATTTTCTGTAAGAGTAGCCCCCAATATTACCAACTCCCAAAGTTCACCCATAGTATTTTTCAGTCTCTATGAATTTTGTTGATGGTCGTGACTACACCTAAAATAACTGGTGATATAAAGTCATTGCACTATTTACATGACTAAGCTCACTTGTGTTCTGTGGTTTTTATTCAGCATTGAACAAATAAATTGGAAAAGTTTCAACTGTAATGTTTGTGAATGAAAAGCAGTCACGATGCTTAAAATCATGAACCATCAATGTGAGCTGCACTGGCCTTTGGCGCCCTCTTGTGTATAAATTGCAGATGCTGCAACACAATAATGCAGATAAAAAGTTAACCTTTTGATTTTACAGTTTGTTTGGGGTTTTAGTACATTATCCAAACAACGGGGCCCCGATAAATGTCACCAACTCCTTCCCAGCAACAGCCCTGATTTTCAACTCTTAAGATGTCAACAAGAACCTGTTTTGAGTGAATTTGATTCACAGGTCTTTGGACTACTTTCTTATCACACCTAGCATATCGCTTTTTAAAAAATAAATAAATAAACAGTCAGGTGACAGAGCTTTCAAAGCGACTTACGTTTACCACACATTAATAGCTTGTCTGTTATAGATGAGATTTGTTAAAAAGAACGACAGGTTTAGCAGCTGTGGCAGCTTTACTTTGATCAGGACCTGGGCACTTAAAAAGATGTGCCCTATTATATTTCTTCAACCTCCAGGATGCTACTGTGCTAGAAGCCACCCCAGATCAAACTTGAACCCATAACCGCTAGCTGAGGAGATCAGTGCCTTACCCATTAGACCACTGGAACTGTATTGGAGTGCCTCACTTGCCCTATTAATTCTTCATGTCTTTCAGGTGGCCTTTTAAAAAAAAAAAACACAGTCTTCTTGGTGAATGACATCAAAGGGCCAGGTGGCTTTACGTTTTCATGACCGGGATGTGAACATTACCCCTTTTTTGAGGGGCTCAGGCATGTATAGAAGTTAAAATGCCTTAGCAGAGAATGGTTTTGATCCATCGATCTCTGGGTTATGGGCTTGGCACACTTCCTCTGCGCTACTCTGCCAATCATTACGAGCTTCTCGTCATAGATTAGATATGTTGAAAACTATGACAGTTTCAGCCTAGAAATATGGCAGCTTTTCGTTGAGCAGGACCTGGGCATGCATATAAGTTAAACAGTGTTCGCAGAGGATGGTTATAACAAAATGCACACTTTATCATAGCTAACAAAATGCAATCAACTGTCTAAAGCAAAATACTAAAAACTCCTCAAATAAATAAACACCCCCCTCTGATTTTCAACATCATTTCCTCTGGCACAGCACAAGATTGGAAACTGAAGTGCCACCTCTTTCTTTGTTCACTGACACATGGAATGTGACCTTTCACTGCATTGACCAGTGTGATCAGGGAGTCGGGTAAAGTATTCAAACAGCAAAAATAATTTTAAGAAGAGTGAACCTTTCTGTACGTTCAAGATATTAATAAACTCTTAACTACCTGTTCTGTGTTTACATTTAGGCACACATACTAGCTAGTCCAGGGGTGCCCAAACTCGGTCCTGGAGGGCCGATGTCCAGCAGAGTTTAGCTCCAACCTGCCTCAACACACCTGCCTGGAGGTTTCTAGTATGAGCTTGATTAGCTGGTTA